GAATAGATGTGTGGACAACAGAAATTAGAAAGGGTAAAGAATAAGATTAAGTGGGTGGTGATAGAAAGGAAGAGGTTGCAATAAAGGAGCAGAAGTGTCAGAATGCAAGCCTGATAGTGGAACTGCTTGGAGTGACATTAGAACACAAGTCACCCAAAGGGCATTGCTAAAATAAAGTGGAGATGGGATTTTGTGCAGTTACAGATTGAAGACTCTGATCACTGTGCTAACATTGTGAGCAATGTGAAATCATATACATGGACCTTAGTCAAGAAATTTGCAGCCTAGTAAGAAAGAACGGTATGTAGCAAATAACCAAATAGGTTGAATATCAGGAAGGACAATTACTGCAATCTAGAAACTGGGAAGTCTAGGAGCATTCAAGTGGGAGAGACTCATTACAAACACAAGAGCTATAAACACCATCAAGGACACCAGGTGAGGTGGTGCTTGCCTGTAATCATACGTACTGGGGAGGCTGGGGTAGGAGGATTGCCAAGTTTAAGGCCAAACCTGGCAACATGGTGAGATTCTGACTCAATTAAAAAAAAAATTAAAAGGGCTGAAATGTATGTCAGTGGTAGTGGGCAGTAATAGCATATGCAAAGCCCTGGGTTCAATCCCCCCAAACATCCCAAAGAAAAAGTCACACACACACACACACCTACACATACACACATAGTTTGCATCTTGGCTAAACACACACACACACACACACACACACACACACACACACATATACATACACACATAGGTTGCATCTTGGCTAAACTCTTAAAAGTTGAATTGGATTTTGACTGGTAGATATAATACAATTCACATTTTTATGAATTATCAGGTTTGCCAGCTGCAGTGGTGCACACCTGTGATCCCAGAGGCTCTGGAGGCTGAGGTAGAAGGATGGGGAGTTCAAAGACAGCCTTAGGCTGGGGCTATGATTCAGTGGTCACATGCCCCCAAGTTCAATCCCTAGTACCCCACCCCACCCCCCAAAAAAAAGATTATCAGGTTTTAAGAAGCCTAGTCCAAAGTATTCAAAATACAAGAGTTAAAAAAACAGGACACGGGTTGCCTTTTTATTTTATACCTAGAGAATCTATGGGTCTGAGAGAGAATTGACTAGCAGTGACCTTACAGATAATCAGTGGAGTTGGAAATAAAGGTATTTCAAAAGGAATACTGTGGGAAACTATACAGTTGCAGAAGAGGGCTGAGCATATTGAGGGAATGGTAACTTAACTAGTTTCAAATCATGAAAGGGATTGGTGGATTTAAGGTTTGGAAAATAGGTAAGAAAACTAGTTTGGAAGGAATGTTTATGGAGTTCGTTAAGCAGCTTTATATTTGATCCTGAATATAAAATAAATGCTGAGACAGTGAAGCAAGGTAGCCTACACATGGCAGAAAAGACTCTGGACCTGCTGCATGTGAATGGAACTCAGTAAGAATAGAAGACACTGCTGATATCACTAACTGGAGAATTATATATATTTTTTCTCTCTTTCCTTCAACATACCCCCCCCCAACTAAATAATTATAAAACCAGGAAAATGACATAATTGGAGTACATTTGAGTCAGTCCTCTCTCTGACATGCACAAAGCCATTCTCTTGAGAGAGATTTTTATCATTGTTCATTGGTGCATATTGCAAGAATACCCTTCTCATTTGTCTTTTGACCTTCCTTCTCTTTTTGTTTCCACTTTATTAAGGACACCAAGAAACCTTTCTAAAGAAGTGAACTTTTCAGTCCAATGCTTAACCATTAGCACTAGCTCTCCCCCACTTTCAGGGGGTGGTAGAAATGTCCTAGCATAATTTGGAAAGCTCCTGCTGGGTAGGTCTTACTTTATCACCAACATTACATACACATTGCGATATGTTAAGTAATCTGTAATTCTCACTGTTTTTCAGGCCTCTGATATTTGTCTTTGGATTAATTATCTCCTGTTTACAGTTTATTATTTCCTTTGCCTACCCCAATCCAGCTGTTTCACAGCTTAGGTTTAAAACCCTGGAGGAATTCTGACTCTGCCTTATCCTTTATAATCCATTAAAAAATTATTGAATCAACTAATTTCCAACATCCTTAAAAATCCCTTGGACTAATTGTTTCATTTTTTAGTCTAATATGTTATTTTCAATTTCATATTTTATCAGTTCACACAGTTTCCTCACTTGCCTAAGAGGACCACTACACAACACAAATCCAACTCTCCATGCAAAATTCAGACATGTCCCTTGTGCATTGTATACCTCTCTGCAGGATGCTTGAAGCCCTCCTCACTCTGAGCCAAATTTCCTGCATTAATCTCCCAGGATGCCCACTCAAGGATGTGGCCAACCAGCCTTGCCAAATGATATATTTTTGTCCCTGAAACTCTTGTTCCTCATGTACAAAAGCCCTTCTCTCTGCCATTTCCTCTCCCATTTACCGCCCCCTTAAAATTAATATCTTCCTACATATGCCTTCCTGTGGTATAAAATCAAGAATGAATCAAAACATGAATTAATTGCATTAATTAGAAACGTTTGCATATTCATGTATATGCATATGTTAGATTGAAAGATACTTACAAATTCTTATTGGAAGCAGTGCATTTTTCATACAAGGAAGACTAAATTTGTATTATTAAAAAATAAAACTATTTTGAAATTCAGCAATATTGGAGAATAGTTTTTAATGCCAGAGAAATGATAAAAAATCATTAGAATCCTTAAAAATGGAGAGTAGAAAAATCGATCTGAACTCAAGACTTCAGATTACTCACCTCTTTAGTTAAGCAACATTTTATTGGCATACATGCATTAAACTAAGAATCATAATTTGCTCTGGGTATACTCAAGTCTATGGTTACCATTTCTAAATTTTAATGTGTCAGAATATTAATGAGTAATGAAGTCTATCGATTTCAAAAAGTGTATTATTAAATAAGATAATGCATAAAAGACTGACTCTTATTATTTATATCATGTCAAAGAATTATATTTTCTAAAGGCTGCAAATGAAAACAAAAGTACTTCAGTTATTACTAAGAGTTTAATGAAATAATGTCTATATGGTGTCATTCTCACAAAGTTCGCCATGTTAATGGAGCATTCAAAGGGACATTATTCATAGAACTTCGTGATTTTTGAAATAGGTGGACCCTACCAATTACTCAGCAAATGTGGGTTAAATTTGTAAGGTATATCACTCTCATATATATTTTGGGGAAACTGATGCCCAACTAAGTGGACTAATTTGCCAACACTCTTCTTTATTCAGTGGTAGACAGAAGCATAACCCAAATATCTGTAATCTTTATGATCAGACTTTTTTTTAAGAGATGATACTTAATCAAAGAATCTGTACAAGTGCTTTGTGAAAGGGTTAGTTTCCATTTATTTATAAGAGTTGAAATAAGATGTAAAGATGGTTTTATGTCAACATGTAGGTCTTGGTTCATAAAAAGCTAGTTTTTCAGAATTATTCTACCTAGGAATTGTGTCACATATATGATTTGATATGAGTGTGTTCACTTTAATCAGTTAAAAATATCTAGCTGTCATGATTCATTTATAGAAGAGAGGACGAATACTTTTAAGGTATGCTTTGATTTAAGCACATGAAGCAATGGTTATGCTAATTAGTAGAAAGAAATGCATATTACTAAACCCAAATTAGTTCTCATTTCCCCTGGCTGGTTGAGCTTCTGTCTGGATATTGTAAATGTCTTACTCACTGTTGAACATTAGAATTAAAGCTAAAAATGTACATGTGCATTTTTAATATTCTTTTCTTGCTGTGCATTTTTTTTCCTTGCCACAAATTCAAAAGAACCTTCTTTCAAAGAGATAGATAACAATTGTATTCCTACAGGGATTTTGTATTTTTAAAAGAAAAAAAAAATAGATATTTGAACATGTCCCTGTTTTCAGTAAAAAATGCTGTGTCAAGGATATGAGAACTACTTTCTCTAAAAATATTAATAATTTGAATGCAGTGTACTTTGGATGCTGAAGGCTTAATTCTGTGTTCAGTTATAAGATGGGAAACGTTCTAAAAAGAAAAGGGAAGAATGTGAATTAATTGTGAGCCAGATCTATGTTCTCTGGCTTTTCCTTTGAGGTAGTAAATAATGTTAATACCCATAAATGCTCGATAGCAAAACACAAAAGGGCAAGGGATATATAATTTTGGAGAAAATATATAATTTATTTTAATTTACATATCATTTCATAGGCTGAGATGCAAAGGTTTCTTATTGCTTCACAATCTGCTAGTATTTAAATATAGTTTGTGCATTTCCTAACGTGTATTGTGTTACACAACAGGGTGATTCTGAAAGCTGAGGTATTTGACTAGCTTTCACTCATTCCAGGATTCTATCTCTTCCTGTCTGTTAAGTTTATGTCTAAGCATTGGAAGAACATGATGTGGGACCAAAAAAAAAAAAAAAAGAGGAAATCATTCAGTATTGAAGTTTTAGGGAGAAACTTTAAGTTCTATAGTACGTTGTAAGCAATTTTCAGGAAGGCATCATTGACTTTCTTTTACCAACAACAAACATCAATAAAAGACCATACAGATAGTAAGATCGGTCATTGCATTTTATGAAAAAAAGTTTGGTGTTACAGAAATTCTCAACATTGACACAAATTAAGAATGTGAGCATTTAGAACCAGAAAGGAGATGTGACCTTGAGTTCCCACCCATGTTTGAGAAGATGGATAAACAGAGATTGAGTGTGAAGAACTAATGATTAAGCTCTGCAGCTTAGATTATCCAAGTGATTTTTATGTCATGTATGATATTTGTTTGAGTTGTGCTCCATTTGTAAGTCAGAAAACACACCAAAAAATGTCAAGAGGAGATGACAGAAGCTAAAATAATAAAGAGAGTGTTTGTAATTTTATTGCAAACACAGAAAAAAAATGCTTTTGAAATTTTTTAGATTCTTTTGTATTTACACGTTATGTTTTTGCATCTTGATCTGATATGTTCTAACATATCTGCAGGCAGAATGCCTTTCAAGTCATTGCTGTGGACGGGGTATGCAGTGGAATTATTCAGTGCCTCTCAGCCGAGGAATCTGTTGACTGGCTACAAGCAATAGCAACGAATATTTCAAACCTCACAAAGCACAATGTAAGTAAGTAGTGATCCAAGGGATATTGATCAGAGAGTTTCTCAGCCTTCATGAAATTCTTCAATATATATTTGACTTTGCATCAGCTGTTCGGTATCTTTCCAAGAATGAGCCACTTCATATTCAGCATGAAAACTCTTCTGAGACACTTATTAGAAGAAAGTCACTTTACCCTGAAAGTCCCAGTACAATTTGTCAATTCAAGAATGGTCAGGCATGTAGGGTTCCGTAGCAAATGTCAAAGGGACCTGTTTTCATTCAGTAAACAAAAAATTGTATTTTGCATTAAAAGTTAAATATGTTAAAAATAAGTAAAAGCTTTCTGGGCTAATATGCTACTGAATTTCAACAAAGACTATTAATTTACTTTCAGTGATCTTGGGACTGTGGCTAAGAATTTTTAAAGGAATAGGATAATACAGTGAGAAGAGCTACCACGGAGACTGAAGTCTTGTGTGGAACTCTTCTGGCCCAAGAATAATAAGAAAACATCATTGTGGGATCTAGAAACTTGCTCATTAGAGCCAGGTCTAGATTGATAGGAATTAGCTTCTCTTCATTTCATGTATCTTTCTACTTCAAACATTTCCTTTCTTCCCATTCTGTGTCTGTTTATTGTCACCATCTTATTATCATTACTCTTTAATAATCTAATCAATTCTCTCTTGCTCTCTTGCTCTCACTCCCAGGAGCTGTGTAGTCTAACAAACTAAACAAAACCATAAACCTCTCTTCCTTGAATACTGATGTATTATGATTACAGATATTTGTTTTCGAAAATCAAGTACTTGACATCATCATGCTCTTGTCTTACTTTTCTCCTTTGTCCAAAACTACCCCCATGCCATATTGGAGCAATTAAGATTTCCTAAGGAAAATTCAGAACTCTAATATATAAATGGTTAAGCAGAAATATGTACCTCTACTAACTCATGGATTACACAAAGATTTTCTTATAAAAGTGATCTTCTGTACCCGAGTAACTGTACAGATTTTTACTTAAAATATAAGAAAGTATTGTGATAAATAAGTCTTTCTTAAAAATAAGAGGACCAGCACAGTCATTAAAGCCAATGCTCTTGTTTTTAGTTGTGATTATTTCAAGCGATTCCATCACAATGTCCATACATGTGGTGGTGGGATGCGCTGTGAGTGGAATTGATAGCCACTGCATGTGTACATGTACAATTTTTCTAGGTAATGCCAAATGTTTTTCAAATGACTAAACGATTTACCTTCTTAGTCTCAGTGGGTGACTTATCTTTATAGATCCTTCTCAATCCTTGGTATCTTATTGCCTTTATATATTTTTTTTGGTAGATGTGAAATTGTGTCTCACTGTGCCATGAATAAAGATAAATGGATTTTTTTGGGGGTGGCTAAATAGGTAAAAATACTCTGAGCCCTCCTCAGAGGTATGAACCCAGGATAAGGGCTGACTTGGGCATGTCTGAGTTGGGTAAGACTGATGCCTACCAGCTGGGCACAGTGGCACATGCCTGTAATCCCAGCAGCTTGGGAGGCTGAGACAGGAGAGTTGTGAGTTCACAGCCAGGCTCAGTGAGGACCTAGGCAACTCAGAGAGACCCTGTCTCTAAATAATATTTCAAAAAGTAAAAAACAGGCTGGGGAAGTGGTGACTCAGTGACAAAGTACCCCTGAGTTTAATTCCTGGAACAACAATAAAAAAAAAAAAAAGGAAAAAAACTGTTGCTCACCTTCCAGCCCAGTCTTTGGTAATCTGACGATGTCATCATAACTATAGTTAAGGTACTGATCAGAAAAAGGAAGGAAGGAAGGCAGGCAGGCAGGCAGGCAGGCAGACTAGAAATGCAATGTCTCTCTGAGGATTGTGTTTTTCTTCCCTTTGTATCATGTGGATGTTTCTAGGGATAAAGGCAAGCAAAACTACCTTGGGTGAGTATTAATTCTCTATTTCATTGCAGGAGTATTTAGAATGTCTTAAAATTAAGCCATGTCCTATAAAGTATATGAGGAAAAGTACTTTAAAAAGAACAGAATGTTAAGCAGTAAATTGAAAGCTTTACTTTTTTACTAGATCCAATTTTTCATTAGTCTAAAATCCTAGGAAAGTTTCATGAAAACAACTTCTTTGGAAGGTATGTTCACTTAGAATGATGTGATCCAACTGACAAGCATTTGAAATAGCTTTCTTGAAATTAAAAAAAAAAAAAGAGCAAAGATGTAAATGTCATTAAGCTCTATAAGCCTAAGGAAGGATAAGCCTAATTTTCTGTTTATTTTTCATCCTTACGACAAATACTTGCCATGAAATTTAGGAAAGCAGATAACACCCTTATTCAACACTGTTTTAAATGCTGGGAGATCCATATATTTCTTGTGATATTATTGCCATATTATAGGTTTTCTGTTCTTTCACCTCTCCTTGATTATATTGTAATAAATGTCCTTTTGTTCTTCTGATCAGTTTTCAGTAAAAATACTTTTGATCACAATGCACTCCTGTATGTGAAGTACAATATATGTGTTGAAAAGACATTGAACGTAGGGAAAGACAATGTGAAAATCACAATAGCTACAGAGAAGTCACAATAATGCCATGATGAAATATGATTGATATAGTTACATAATGTGAAGAAAGAAGTTGGATTAAGACTACTGTGGAAAGTTCTGATTAGAATAGACAGTTGACATCTCAAGTTCTCTTATTTTTTATATTAAAGAGATTCTAGAATTACTACTTGGAGGAACTAATTTTTTCTTTACTTGCCAATATTATGAATTGGTGAAGGCTTATATAATTTAGGCATAAATGGTGTATGTGTTATTAATAGGTGCAAAAAGAAAATATTGGGGTAAATGGGGGTAAATATCTGAGAAAGTCCACCAATGAGATTATCAGACATAGCAATAAATTTTAGAACGAGATAAAAATGCATATGAAATAATAAGTTTTAAAGTATTAGCAAACTACACTTCTGAAAAGATATAAAACATGCTTACAAGCTGGGCACAGTGACACATGACTATAATTCCAGCAACTTGGGAGGGCAGGGCAAGAGGGTCACAAGTTCAAGGCAAGCCTCAGCAATTTAGCAAGACCCTGTCTCAAAATAAAAAATAAAAAGGGCTGGAGATATAACTCAGTGATAGAGTGCCCCTGGATTAAATCCCCAGTGCCATCAGAATGGACAAATAAATAAACATGTGATGATTTGAAGAAAGAAATGTTGAAACCAAAACATTACAAAACCCTTTAATGATGAATTATATTTTAGTATAAAGACAGTTGGAGTACAGAGAAGAATAAAAAAAAGAAAAATAGAACCACAAACAGAAAACCCTATGTTAGAATGACTTTAACAACAGTCTAACCACTTGCTTTCTTTTTGTTCACTAATTTCCAGCAGTGATATAACTTTGAAATGGGGATTTTATACTAAATTTATTTGAAAATTTAATGTAATTATAGCTTCTTTATGAAGAAATTAGTTTTCTAGAAGGTCCTTGAATATAAAAAAAAATTTAGTAAAATATAATTGAAAATTGAATTTTATTATTAATCAGGGTGGCTCCTAAATATTCACAATATGTTTAGTAAACAGTATGTAGTAGAAAAAGTTCCTTCGGGGACTTGTCTTTAAGCTGTGCTGCACAGATGCCAACATATTTTAAAAGCTTTTACATTAGAAAGGGAGGCTGTAATGTTGTGGAATACAACTAATTGTTTCCACCAGTTACCACTGGCATTTGCTATTACTTGGACTAAAGTAGACTCAAATCCATTTTTTTTTTTTTTTTTTTTTTGCTACTGAGGATTAAACCCAGGGATACTTAAACAGTGAGCCACATCCTCAGCCATTGTTTAAATAATTTTATTTAGAGACAGGGTCTCTCTGAGTTGCTTAGTGCCTGCTAAGTTGCAGAGGCTGGCTTTGAACTCTTAATCCTCTTGCCTCAGCCTCCCCAACCGCCACTACACTTGGCCTCAAATTGATTCTGAAGATAGAATTCATATCTCCTAGAGTACTTACGGTCATGGTGGTGAATGATTATAATCCCAACTCCTCAGAAGACTAAGGCAGGATAATCGTAAGTTAGAGGCCAACATGGGCAATTTAGCAAGACCCTGTCTCAAAATTTTAAAGAGAGGCTGAGGTATAAATCAGTGGCAGAGTGCTTTTGTGAATTGTGGAATTGTGCTAGACCCTGGGTTATATCCTGCATATCAAAAATAAAAAAAAAAGAATGAAATAACAGTACTTAAAACAATACCTCCTTGCTCCAAGTTAATTATTTTTTAAATTTTTTTCTGCTATTCATTATTTAGCCAGATATAAAGTTGTTAATTTTATTTCCAAAGTTATCTCATATTAAATAATTTTAAAATATGCCAATATTATAAGGGAGTTAACTTTCAGGAACCTTGGAAAGGAGTAAATCCATTTTGCATATTATAGGGAGTTGAATATATGGGGAAAAGAGGCACTCTTTAACAGTCAGGCTGATAAGATGATCCTCGATGATGTTCACCTCCTGGTATCCCCACCCTTAAGTGATCCCCTTTCCTTAGATGTGAGATACATGGTAAGCCTGGAGGAAGATAACTCACCGGTCAGGGCTTTGGATGAAACCATGGCTTCAGTTGACCCTTGGTTACAGTCTTCTGAAATAGCCAGGGAAAGAAAACCCATATCTGGACTCCTGAGCCACAGGAACTGTGGGATAATAAAAGATTTGCTAAGTCACTAAGTTTTGAAGAGTTATGTTACATAGCATTATGGAGTGGTATTTGTTTCCTTCAGCGGCTATAACAAATTACCTCAAACTTGGTGATTTGAAATATTAGAAACTCACCCTCAGTTCTGAAATCAAGATGTCAGCCAACTACCTCACTTCTGGACACCCTAGTGGAGAATGCTTCTTGCTTCTGATGACTCTCAACACTTCTCGGCTCTTAGCCACTCTATTTCAATTTTTGCTTCTGTGGTCACATTGCCTCCTCCTCTGGATGTCT